GCTAGACAGTGTTGTATGGGTTTGAATCCCATTAAGAGTTAGATACTTCTGACTCAGGGAGCTTTTGTCTAATGATAAAAGAACTTAAACTGTGTGTTGTCAAGTGCAAGACATTGTTGTATGGGTTTGAATCCCATTAAGAGTCAGATACTTCTGACTAAGTGAGCTCCTTTTCTACTGATAAAAGAACATAAGCTGTCTGTTTTCCAGTGCAAGACAGTGTGGTATGGGTTTGAATCCCATTTAAGAGTTAAATTCTGCCTCAGAGAGTTCCTTTTCCACTGATCAAAGAACTTTCACTGTGGGCTGTTCAGTGCAAGACAGTGTTTTATGGGTTTGAATCCCATTAAGAGTTAGATACTTCTGACTAAGTAAGTCCTTTTTCTACTGATAAAAGAACTCTCACTGTCTGTTTTCCACTGCAAGACAGTTTTTTGATGGATGTGAATTCCATTGAGATTTAAAAATGAGCCTTTAACCTTTCCAGTAGCTGCAGGAATGCCACAAAAGTAGCATAATTTGTGGATAAGTGTGCTCCTGAAAAATGTTTCAGTTGCATTTGAGTAACTTAAAAATAACAACTGAAAAGTAAACTGTATTAGTATGTTTATGTCCTGAAAAATAAACCAATTGTTAGTAATATTTTTTGCTATGGTAAAATGACTCACACACAGGGTTTTTTTGTTTTATTGTTTTCAGACAACTTTTACATGATGAACCTATGTCTAGATCTCCTGAAATAAAAATGTTAGTTGATTTGCAAAATTGTTTAGTGCAGGATGCAGAATATCAGCTAAAAGAATAAAAAGTCCTGAAAAAGAAAGCTGTTAGTAGTTTAGTTTTAAAAATTGCTCAGACACCGCTGTTTATGGTTTTTATTGTTTCCAAATTCTTTTACATTGTAGGAACTATATTTATCTTATCCTGAAAAAAATAGATTGTTAGTAGATTTGTTTTGCATGGTTTGCATAATTAGCTGAAAGGTAAAATTTGTGCTGAAAATAGAATGGTGTTAGTAGTTTTTAGTGTATCTGTACAAAAATGGACACAGACACAGGCTTTTGTTTCTTTTATTATTTTAATAATGTTACATCATTTCTATATTAAGTTAGTGTCTGGTTGGGATGCGCATTCCTAAGCGAAAAAATTTTCACCTGAAGAAACCTCAAGTGTTCTTGTGTCAGTAAATGTTGACACCCCGAAGGAACACTCAGGGTGTCCCAGAGTGGATCACGAGCAGCCTGCTAACAATAATTACTGTCGCTACCAGGCTTCTGTAATGTAATTGTAACTGAAATTGGATGCCAATCATATTTAATACCGAAAGCCGAAATGATGATGGCAGCGAGTTTCGAAAGGGCTGAATAGCCGGAGGAATATAATTAAAGTGTCTACGTACCTGCTGACCTTACCTTCTCCGTGATAGCTGCCTTAGTGATCTTTGTGTTCAGTGGAGACTGAATATTATTTACAACAATTTGGTTGACAGCAAGTTTGCTGTTATGTCAAGAAAATTGGCCTAAAGTATGTGTTAAAAGCTGAAAGTTCAATATTGCCCACTTTCTTTTTTAACTTCAAAGCTATGTCCTCTCCACTGATCCATCCTCATGATTGATTTGTGATGCTTGGTGATGAGTTGATTTCTCTACAAATTTTGGCTGACATGATAATTGTTTTGTGTTGTAAACTTGAAGCAAAACAATAGCCCAAAAATTTGTCAGACAGCTTTCAAGCTATCACAATGTTCTTTACAATTGGCTTAATTTTTTTGTGACCTAAACTGTGGTGTGTGTATCTCCTATATCCCACTAAATGAAGCCTCGACTGGCAGCTTCAACTGGAGCTAAACCATTAAACAGGATAGAAGTAGCAAATGGGCATACTTCCCCTACCGATTGGCTTAAAATCTCCAGTTACTTACAGCAAGTAAATGTCTGGTTGAACCTTTAGGCCAAAATGGTTTTGCCGTAATGAATTTTATGGCATAATTTGGACGAAAGAGTCTCACTGGATGCCAGTCGTTTGTATGGCTGCTATCCAGTGAAACTTTACATGAAAAATAGGTTTTTTAGAGCGCAACTACGCAGGAGATTTTGCACTGAAGAAGCTTGTGCTGTCCACAGCAGAGCCATTGTAGTTCCATGTTCGAGGTAAATGAAGATCTTTAGTCTCGAAATTGATGCGGATGTGAGGGCCGAAAACCTAAGCCGAAACCTATCCGAACCTAAACCGAGAACCTATGCCGAACTTAAGCCGAAAATACCTGAAAAGGAACCCAAAGGAGAAACCTAAAGGGAGGCCCCATCCAACCCAAGGGGACCCAACTAACTAACCTAACTACATTAGATTAAGCCGAATGCGAAGTCCATGGACTTCAGGCCGAAATTTGATATAAGGTTCATCCAGAGCTTTAACTAATAAACCCTCCTTTCCAACCCAAAATGAATGAGCTAACCAGTTTGTGTTTGTCTTCCATCAGTATCTTCTTTCCCAGTTGAACATCTGTGAGTAAATCCTAAGATGTGACGTAAATTGAAGAGAAGTGAAGAGAAACCTTAGGTCTCATCTTCCAACAATCCAATTTTTTAACATCTTAAAATGTCCCCATCAGAGTCAAACTGGTACACTTTTGCTTGAGTGGTGGGGTGGCTGGATCAGGTAGCATTCCACAGGGAGAGGGTAACACTGAAACGAAAACAAAACTGAATGAATGATTTATTGATTTTTGATAGAGTTAATGTGTAGGTATTACATGAATTAATGCAAGCATGAATGAAAGATGGCGGGAAGGAAGGAGAAATAAAGGAATTGATGAATGAATGAATTTTATTTGGTCTGAATGAATGGAAATATCAGTTAATGGATAATAAATGAAAAAAAAACTTGTGAAAAAGCATCTTTGTTACAAAATTCCGTTCCTAAGCAAGTACCATCTGTTGAAAATAGTAAAAAGTAAAATTACAGCTATACATAGAGTACACACGAGACCAGAGCACAACCTCAACTAGAACAATAGATATCTTAACTGTGTAACGCAGGTCTTTTAGTGAGTTTTTTGATGGTAATTTTAACCTGCGCAAGTTGATTAACGAGGAATTGATTCACCGTGAATGCTTTCATCTCCCAAATATGTAAACCAAAAGAATGGAGAAAACCGGGTAAAGTTTCAGCACAGCCCCATACTATTGTGAAACAAATCTGTTTTCCCAATGGCAATGTATTGTTTTTGTCACTGTTTTCTCTATTCAAGAACTGAATGCACAATATAGGATAGGGCTGTGTGGAAATTTTATCGTAAACCGGTAGTCGAAAGGAACGACAGGAATGAATATTCTGAGTGAGCGGTCCGCCGATTTGTACGCCTTTACAGTTTGATGATTAATTTCAAAAAAGATTATTTTCATTCTTTTCAATGAATTTTTTTGTAGTTAAACTGTAGGAGTACTTTCAAACAGTTGTGATTTAATTTAGAGGCAGCAAAAATCGACCGAATTATCAGTTTTTAGTGACAACGAGGCACTCAAAAAAAAATTTAGAAGCAATAGCATGAAAAACAAACTTGTAAGTGGCCAGTGCACGTTTCAAATTGTTGCCCACCAAGTGTGCTTTGTTGCTTAAAAAACTGAAGTTGAGGCCGAATACACAACTTTCACTTTAGCATGAACGGAAAAAGAACGCAAAAACAACTATTTTGTCGTTAATTTACCTAGTTTGACACAACGAATTTTTTTTACAATGAAATAATTCAATTTACCAAGTGAAATAAAACAGAAGACACTTCGCAAACCTAGGGCTCGTGTTTTTCGCGCCTATCGCCTTTCACGACTGGAGGTGTTCTGGAGAAGCTTTCCCTTTTGAGTGAATTATTTTGTAAATTATTCTCAAGTCTGAAGCATTCACCTTACATAGCTGACAATTCCACTGTGATATGTGAAACGTGTAACAAAGGATAATTATTTACCTCTTTCTATTTCCATTGTAGCGTGTTTGTCATCTTCCGCGGCTGCAACATTCACATTTGACGAGTGCAAGGAAGCCAAGAAGTTAGGAATTCTTTTGGGTAAGTTCTGTAACGAAAAACGAAATTATAATCAGTCATCACTAAATACGAGCTTACTTTTGTTTCACAGAATGTCTTGACCAAACTTTAATTAGCGAAAAACGTGGATTTTTTTTAGAGCGAACAGAGCTACGATTTTCTCCGTGGAACACGTGCATGTTTGAAATTAGAAATAAAACCGTATTTAAAAATATTAACTCACCAGTTTTCCTAATCCTTCTTTCCAGTTCGTAATTTTTTTGTGGGGTTTTACCACCGTATTAGCCTTGAAGAATACTATATAGCTTCTTCTTTCGGAAGATTAAAACAGTCTTCCGTCTTCCACGTGTTGTTGTCGGAATGGAAAAGTTTGAAAAGCGCGCCTTGTCTTGTTTCAAGCCCACGTGTTCGAACACTCGTCGCTGATTGGCTTATTTTGTGTCAGCCATCTAACGTCATAGGTTGTCACTTTGGTAAAAAATTCTTTCAAATATTATTTATGTGGCAGCCCTTTTCAGACCCCTTTTACTTCCGGCCAAGGAAACAAGGAGCTCTTTTTTCAAAAACCGAGATCAATTGCTGGGTAAAGTTACCATTAATCTGCAACTCCCTTGGATATTCATGTTGCCACAAGGACTAATGAAACCTGCGTTAAGATCCCACTATGTTCCTTTGTACAGTATTATATTTATCGAGTGATAGTGTATCGCATCGCCTTGCATTACGCTACATTGAGTTGTATCAAATTGTCCTTTTTTGCGTTTTTTCATCTTTTCATTAAGTATATGCTGATGTAATTTACCTATGGTATTGGGCATCAAAAGAAACAAAAATTTACTACATTTTAAGAAACCTGCAAAACATTTAGTCAGAACGCTGTCCGCTTTTACCACCAGTAACCTGATAGGAAATTCTACTCTTGTTGAGCTCAAGGGCACATAACATCGAAAAAGAAGACGACGAATTAAAGTGTCTCCCAAACCCCTTAGCAACGCCCATTTAGATGTCATGTCATGCCAGAGTCCGCGATTGAAGTTCTAAAAAAAATGGGAGAAACTGTTTTGCCCTCGCTGAGATTAATATGCGTGCTGATCCGTCACTCGGATTTGTCGACCCGTACCACACCCAGAACACACCGGAACCTCTGTCAGTTGGGTCCTTTTGAGTCCCTAATCTTTCAACGTAGATGGGTCGGGTTATCTTTATGATAGCATATCGGACAATTTCAGCCTTCAGTATATCCAGACTAACAACAACTTTTCATATTCAGACTCCAAGGATGTTCAAAATAATGGTGACGTCACTGTCACTCAGCAGGGAACGAAGAAACTGGATAGGGCACGAGGTTGACCACCACTACTGCTGCTGCAACTGCAACACGAGTCTTCAGGACTGAGTTTACCAACGATCGAGAAATGGAAATTTCTCTGATATCGCAAATCTGTAAATTTTCATGACATTTGCTCTGACTAATTTGTTGAGGCCTCGCCCAGTTTACGTTATTTTAACTTCTAAAGTTCCTGAGGAACCTTTCAACGTGTACGTCGAGGTATCCCTTTGTTCTCCTTGTCAGCAGCATAAGAAACATGTAGAGAACAGTATGGAGAATATGCATACTGATGTTAGGGTGTGAAGGGTTTAACTCTTAATATTTGACTTCAACTCTCCCTTCCACACATTTCAAGATATTTTTTGCTGTCTTCTCGTTAGCCCTTCGTCAGAATATCGCTCTGACGAAGGGCTTACGCTCGAACGTCAGCTTTTTACTCTATGCGGTGGCCAATTTACGTGTTCAGCTCAGTTGTTAACACTAAATTACCTGCTATACTCTCGCACCGACGCAGCACCACAGTTTCTTTAAAAACTTACTCCCTTTATCCATTTGTCGTTTAATAAAAGTAGTCGAGTTTGTGGGATTATAGTGTTTTTGTCGGTTAGATTATACCGTAACAACTGCACTATCTAGCGGATAGCGTTATCCATCCTTAAACAACCGGGATCAGTAAGATTGAAGGAAGCACATCACGAACACAAGAGCTTTGGGCCCCCTTTTCCAACCAGCATATCTTGAATCGCAGCCCAACCTTAATTTCTTTTTAAAAATTTTGAACATAATTTCCATTGAGCATATTTGGTGCGTCTGAAAAGCAGCAAAGTGACACCAGACAGGCTCATGACGTTTCATTAACGAAGGGCGCACAGTCAACTGTTATTGTTCTACTGTGTAATAATTGTTATACATGTTACTCAACAGGTGCAACTTTGTTTTTTAGTATTTTCAGGCCGATCGTTTGAGTATTGTCACCTTTCCGAGTTTCAGTTTTACAGAAAGAATAGGAGGCTTCTGCACTTAAGTAAACTTTATTAAATTAATATTTTCGCACGCTAAGAGATCGTAAAATTCAAAGTTAAATACACATCTTATGATTTCTAAAATTTACGCGTCTTCTATCTTCATTTGGGAGGATTTCATAACCAAATAGACGTTTCTTGGGGGGCCTGCAAGAAACCAATTGATAAAGTAAGGAGAACAGGCAGTGTTCTCAAAAGCTTTCTTACTAGCCAGCCTAGAAAAAAAAAGCATGCTTTGTCTACGGAAATTAGTCGGCGAGAACACCATCCGCTGGTATTTCTGGAGAACACTGAACAAATGGACGATATCGTAATGAATCAAAAACCGGAAACTGAAGAATTATGCCAGTCTCAAGTCTTCCTTTTTCATTGCAAAAAAAACCCAGGAAAAGAAACTGGTTTGAAGACAGAGTGAAATGAAGCAAACCATACCTCAAACATGAGAAGTGTTACGTATAGACGGCATTGATGCTAAAAGTTTCTTCATTTTTGTCTTCTGAGTCGTTAATGAAGATGAGAATTTCAGATTTTCCTGGGAACTGTTGTGGTGTGAAGCGAAGACCGATACTATGCGATTCTCCGGTACCAACCTGGCAGATTCAAACACACAACGTATGGCGGAATTGGTTACACGAAGCAAATTATTCATTAAGAAAATTGTAAAATAATCACACGATATCGCCCCCTCCCCCACAAAGAAAAAAAAAGAAAAATGAAATGTCCTATCACAACTGACAAAAATATAAATGACAAAATAAGCTCTGCGAATTTGAAAACACGACAGATTTTCATTACTTTTTTAGCCCCACCCCTTCCTTGAAAGTTCCTGGGCTAAAACCCGTAGTGCCTGCTCTCTTTTTCGTTTTTTCCCCTTGCTTCCTGTCAATTTTGTGAGACAACTTGCTTTTCTTTACCTAGGCAAACAGCAAAATAGCATTTGACAGAAGGTAAATAGTGATTTTCCTTACTTCAGGTTAGTTAGGAGCCCTGTGCACCTGCACTCGTTGTAATGTTACCTGAATGATGCTCTCCTTAAACTGTAGCATGTCAGGCCTGTTAGTCTTCAGATGGAACGTCTTCTTGGTAGGATAAGGATTGGTGAATGATACGCGCTGATAGGAAAAAAACAAAACATCATTCAGTCAAGTACCTGGTTTTGCTGTTCCCGCGTGCCAGCCCTCTCATCCCCCGGCTAAAATCCAGTTATACCCCCCCCCCCCCTTAAAAAACAGAGACACTTTTGTGTACGTATATCCGTTCTTCACAAAATAGTCGGAACGCGAAACTTTCTTAGCCCTTACTGTAACAAGCCTATCGAAGACTCTTTAGCCTCTTAATGACTTTGATTGGTTTTCAGTGTTATGTAACAGCACCCTTCCACGTTTTTATTCCAGCTTAGCTGGGTGAATAATCAGTGGTAAAACTTTAGAAAAACAAACGAATCATTTTGTTAAATATCGATTTTACAAGATTTTCCAGGGAAGACTACAAACATACCACTAAATTATACAGATATGTTCACTCTGGCGAAGGGCTAACGCTCGAAACGTAACCTTTTGAAACTCTTTAACGGTGGCCGATTTACATTTACAACTCAGTTGATAAAACCAATTTGATTATCATGTAATAGCAACAAATATTCTGTAGGAACTCCCCTTTTATATTCATGCTGAGGATAATACTACATATAATAATCTCCGTGACCGACGATTTCCCGCAGAGAAACAGTCTACCGTCAAATAAACCGGGAAACATTTTGCATTCGTTTGGTTTGTCGGGAATTGCCAACGCGCCGTCCGTTTTAGCGACTGCCGTTAAAGGCCGACCGTATTATGTCTACGTAAACCTCCCGATCGGCTACGATGAAAAAAAAAATCGACGCTTAACCGAGAAAACAATGTAAAAACCCTACCTTGTTCGAACCCTTTCCACCGCCAACTTGTATCTGGAGTTCAAACGATTTAGAAATAACGGGCATTTGACAAGAGGCACACACAAGCCAAGTTCTCACAAGTTGATGAAATTCCACATCTGATACGTGTAGTAAAGGAAAACGATTTTACATTCAAAACATATGCCTGTTATCTGAAGCTTGTTCGGCTTTGGAAAGCTGATCTCCTTTCATTTTGCTAACAAACCATAACTTCTGTCCCTATTTCAGTGAGACTCGTGAAAACAACCTGTAACTTCAAGCCCATGTTGACTGCCATTTGCGCACGAAAAATTCTCGCTCTTCAGCATTTGCCACATAAAATTCGATTTGCAGTCTTCTTCACATAGTCACACGTACCTTACTACTTGATTGTCATATATTTATGGTGAGGAAGATAAAATCTGAGTGATCTATGACGCTATTAAAGCTTTCATTTTACCCCAAATAAGTTAGCTTTCAGCTAATAAGTTGTTGTTTTTGTAGCAAAGGATACCAACCACGTTAACGTACATATAGCGCATGCTCCCGGACGTGTGGGGTCGTAGTGTTAGATGGACTTCATGAACAGCATTCGCCATTAACATGATTGGGTCGGTGGGCTTGACCTGTAGTGAAGCAAGTCTGTCAGTATGAGCAAATGTATACACACTAGGACGGCGAGACTGAGAAACGCGAGGCTTGGCGCTTGCACGTTTTTATTAAAGAAGATGTACTCTGTATTTCATCACAAAGAAAAAGTCACCAGCTAGAAGTGTTAGGATGCGTCTAGAGAGGTACAGAAAGGTTCAAATTATTCATAGGGATGATTTCCACTATTACCTCCCACAAGTATTTCAGCTTTCACTACTTAAAAATACCAATGCAATATCCAGAAAACAGGTCATAGGAATAGACAAAACTGTCAGCAATAAAAGGTTTCTACACGATGTAAAGTTAGATTCACTTGACTCATTTACAAGGGAGTGTATAGCAGGCAGAGGGGTGAATAAGGAATCAGATCTTGGAACTTACCTGTAATTCTTCGGGGTGAGATGAAAAACACTGAACAAGACGACTGGACTGAGTTCCACGTAATATCACAGACAGGCGACTGCTCTGACCTTGGACAGCAGACAAGTCGATTCTACGACAGTTTGCACGAAAAAGACCAGTTACAGAGACGAGCAAACGTCTTGCAGCGATTCAGGTGAACCAAATTAAAACGTGAATTTCCAGTACCTTTCTTTTTTTTTTCCCTCAAAGTTAAGGTAATTTTACATTTGACTAAGTTTAGATTTTTCTTTTCTTTCTTTGTGGTGGGCCTTGAATGTAAACTTTTCGGAGTACAAGTAAAGTATTTCCTACCTTTGTAATGAATGAACATAGAACTGCCATGTTTGACAAGGTTCGGCGAGGAAAGGATCTCTGAAATCAAAATACACGGACTGAAGATTAAAAGAGCATCAAAGCGCAATGGAGTGTCGAAAGATGTGTATTGTTTTGGCCTTTCTACCCCGAAGTACGCTTTGAGATTCGCTAAAAACACTCGCGCCACCTTTGTAACCAATCAGAGACAACAGTTAAACCAACAGTGACTTGCCCATTCTTTTTTTCCAAACTCAAAGCCATTGACGTGAATTTACTCTGATTCATCATTGGTTCATTACGACACAGATTTATCTCTGTTCTCATCTCGGTTTTGGTTTACGAACTTCAATCGACAAGTGCTTTGCATGCGTTACCTCTGATAAGCGAAATTGAGTACAATCGTCCAATATCCATAAGAACTTACATGTACAAGAGAACGAAAAACCTCTTTAGAGAAGGAGAGGGTCCACATGCGATCTTGAGGAAAACATCCTGAGGTTCACCCGACGGCTTGAGAGATAATCATAAAATCCACACATTATTTCCATATCAGAATGATGTTATAAAACGCTCAGATGAAACGGGTGAAGATTTATGCTGAGGTACCGTTATGAACTACCTCAGTAAGCCTTCAGTAGAGGTCATCTTTGGCAAATTCTCGGCAGCAAACAAACTTTCCTGGGTTTGTAGTCTCGCATGCAGTATGTCTCACTACTTAGTCACTGTGAGCTGAGCCGTAACTTGTATAGCTAATTTTACGCGGCAGCCATTATAATTTTTTCGAGTGAAGAGTCTATTTTATCAGCGGTTCTAAGAAAAAGCTAAAACCCAGTGTTATTTCACTCGTGATAAGTAAGATCTTACCATCTTTCTAGCTTCACAAACAGCATTCACATCACTGCAGCGTACATGTACTTGAGGTTGCGTGTTGTCGTCCATTACTGGCGCGCCTAGGAAAAACAAATCAACACTATTCAATCAAGGTGGAAGATAAAATTCTTAAACGCTACTTGTGCATCCAACAGCATCACCAAATTTTTTTAACCTTAAAGTAATGTTTACTCTTCAGTTGCGTAGAAGCAATTTCGTCTAGCTGGGTAGGCTAAAAAACCTACAGATTTTAAGTGAGACGAATAGGGTGAGGTGGGGAAAGTTTCGTCGTGTGTTTTTTTACCTGGTAATGATCGCCAGGGAGGTAGTCTGATGGTCTTTTTCAAGAACGACTGCTCTGCGTGGTAGAACCTGAACGTTCTGTCTATCACATGGGGTCGAGGTTCAACTTGAAGATTAAGAATAGCTATTGGACGCTCATCCGTGTTTCTGAATGCCACCTTAAGGAGAGACGCAAAGCTGAATTACAATTTATTGCTAATGCTGAGGACTAAAGTGAAAGCTAAACGTAAGTTTACTCCCTTAAAGTATCGATCGCATATTTTCCCCACTTAAAGCAAAATTGATTTTAGAGCGGAAGTCCTCACCATCATGTATTTTCCTTTGTAGGCACATGATACATTTTCCAACGTTATCTACACGTATTTTCGCCCTTGTCATATGGGATATTTTTCACCCTTGTCACCGCAAGCACTCGCTCTAACGATGGGCTATCGTTTTGAAACGTCAGCTTTAGAATCTCTTCACGGAAGCCAATTCACATTATCAACTCAGATGATAACACCAAATTATACCTTCATAACAGGCTCCGTAAGCAATACCGCTTTGTATACGACACGGCAAAAGTCACTTTGACATAATAATCTATTAGTGAAGACCAATGCCAAAGAACTAAGGAAAACCGACAGATATAAAGGAAGCTGGAAAGGATTAACCTTGATAACAATTGAATAAATATGAGTTTTTGTTACCTTAATCTGACGTGGTTTTAGACTATTTTCCTCCGATATGCTGGTCTTTAGATAGGTTTGAGCCTGCTGTTTTAGCGGATGTGATGGGCCCTACGAAGAAAGAAAATCTCATTTGTATTCTGAGGCATAAAATTTCTTAAGTCATCTTTACTCCAACAGGTGACTGGCTTCATCTGGCCCCGCGGGCGGGCCGCAGAAAACATTTCAGGGGAAAAAGATACGTAAGACATGTACATACCTGTTCAGGAACACTTTGATCTGCTCTAAAGGTCTGGAACTTGAACGGGATATGTACAGTTTCCCTGGGTCTGAGGAACACTTGTGGGTAGGGGCTGGTAGAGGCGGTGTCAAACATGTTCTCCTCCAAAGCTGTGGAACAAACGTGAATCAAAATATTCAAACTTTTAACTAAGTTACCACGAGCACAGGGTACAGAAAGGAGTCTACAAAGGAAATCAAACCATTAACAGTTAGATGCTTTAATACATGATCAATTGGGTGGAAAGGCGAGAAAGTCTGGTACAGGGTTAATCTGTGATCCATACACTGCATACTTCAGGGATAAGCAATACCTCAAGAAAGCGTGTTTGAAATCTCTCTTTAAACAAAAACCGAGCTCAAGAACAAGAATTCCTCTTTCCTCATCTTTAAACATAAAACTTAAAGTGTGAAGAACGAACCAAAGTAAATCCCCAAACAGATTAACAGGGCTCAATGATAAAAACGTCCCTCACCTGAACGCGTCTCTGTTTTTCTCTTAAAGTGTCTCCACTCTCTTGTGTCTGTTACCACTCTACAAGAAAAATAAACGAAATATTACGAAATATTTCTTTAAACGAGAAATGGAAGGAGATCAAGTTTAATTTCGCATCGAGCAAAGGACTTTAGGCTTTTACTATTATTTAGAAGCGGCTGGCCAGCACGGACTAAAACCAAATCCTCTCAGCAAAGTTTTGAGTACAATCCAGGAACTTTGTTCTCAAAATAACTGAAGGCCCCATCCTTTCTTGAAGTTCTGATATTATATTTAATCAAATTTATTTTTCAGACGATGAGAAAAACTGGGCACGGACAAAGCAACCTGCTGCGTACGTAGCTGTACTACTGATGTAAGGGGAAGGCGGAATTACGCTGTCCCAAAAACAGCAACTGAATCTGAACCCGGTTGGGTCTGTCCGTTTCGACTTATGGTGAGCAAAGCGACTTGACTTACCAGTACTATATGAAGATTTGCCTTTAGTGTATCGAGCTTGTGAACAATCAACATGTAAGTAACAGATCATTAAAATATGCTACTTGCAAAGCGATACACACGTGTAAATCCACTGGCCCAGAGAATAGCTGTTAAAGACAAGCCTTTTGTTAAAATACCTGAGCTCGTTGTCATCGCAGTAAATGGTAACAGTTTGGTCGGTGGAGTAAGGATTTCTCAGCACAAACTCGAAAAACTCTACTCTACCGAATGACGGGTAGATTGTGTGGCTGGTCGTGATGTTCCCTGCTAACGAAGAGAGAATCCTCTCATGTCTGAGCTTCTCTCTGTTAAAAAAAAAATACAAATTTTCAAACTAAGACCATTGTAAGAATAGGATGGGTGACGCCCCCCAGCCCGCCACTGTTTGATTGAGAGTTTTTTATTTTTGAAGAAATATCGAAGGCAGATAAATAATTCTTATATTCCCTACGTTGCTTCGGGGAGGGGG